ATTTAAAACTCATTCACCTAGAGAACAAAGCAAGTTGTTTTTTTTAACATATATAATTTTTTGACAGGGGTGTTGTTAAACAAAGAATGATCTTTGCTATAATATGGGACAAACAAATGTTCTGTTAGTTAATGTGGTTTAATTAGAAGAACTCAAACAGTGAATCTCACAGACAGACTCAGCCTGTGCGTGCAGTGACCCACTCCCGTCACAACAGTCTCTCCGGAGGGAGTTTAGTCTTTCACAAGGAGTTGGACAGATCTGTTCGATAACAACGCTCCGTAGTCAGGCTTTAGAGGCTATAGTCTCTGGTAGTTCAGGAGCAAAGTGCGGGAGGAGATGTCAGACTGACCACAGCAGTCGCTGCTTCAACCTGTCTCTGATGAAAACTGCTCTCACCGAAAGTCCCGCCCTGCTCTCCTCTGATTGGATAAAAAGGTTCTGGACTTGGTCTGATTTGTTGAAGGCAGTGRCTGTTTAATCCTTGTATCAGGGTCCCACTGCTCTTAGAGGCTTGGTGAGCACCGAACAACAATCCAGTCACACCAGTGTGGCAGGATTATTTTATTTTATTTTTTAAGAAAACAGGTCACATTTGCAACCAAACTGGTTGCACTCTAGAGCCCTGCTAACTGTTGTTTTGATAGACAATCATTTACAATCGTAGGTACGCAAGTGAGCTTAATGACGTTCCATCTGGTGCACTTTTTTCCTTTTTGGGCACGCATGTGCACGGCTTATGTGCGTCCCTGGTAATACTACTGTTTGACTTGCACTCTTTTTCTACATTTGAGTCACAATGAAGCCATGCCATCTCAAATAATGTGATGATAAAGAATAATAGGTTTTTATAACCAATGGCTTTAAAAAGATAATTTAATCTGTTAGATTWCTATAATAATTTGTAGCTGAGAAAAAACGTGACAAAATATAACATAAAGCCTTACATTTTTTATTAGTAGATGAAGTACTGAAAACTTGGTCTARAAAATTTWAAAATCCACACTARTTTAAGCATTTTGAAAGCAAAACATATTCAGCTTTAGAATAAAATAATCCAGTTGTATTGTTTGTTTTTCTATGTATGGGTGACTCTTAACTTTCTGCTTCTAAACMCAGATAAGACAGAGGTTATGGTTCGTGGACCTGAACATCTCAGGGATCAACTTTGTAGCCTTTCAGCTCCTCTGGATGGCATTAATCTGATCTCCAGTTCTAATGTAAAAAAGCTTGGTGTTATTTTTGATCAGGACATGTCTTTTAACCCCCACATTAAAAATGTTACCAGYACCACCTTCTTCCACCTGTGTAATATCACTAAAATTAGAAACATTTTTTCCAAAAATGATGCAGAAAAACTTATTCATGCATTTATCACGTCTAGACTGGATTACTGCAATTTTTTATTATCTGGGTCCAAAAACCTCTTTAAGAAGTCTTCAGTTAATCCAAAATGCTGCTGCTAGAGTTTTATTGAGAGTTGGAAGGAGAGATCATATTTCTGCAGTTTTAGCTTCTCTCCACTGGCTCCCTGTCAAATTCAGAATAGAATTTAAAATATTCCTCCTAA